GTTTGCCCTTGTCCTAGTAAGGCTTCCCAGGAGGTAGTAAAGAAGAGAGAGAGAGAGAAAGAACCAAGAACCACTGCTGTGGACAGGGTAGGAGGTAATACTAGTAAGTCATAGGGGATTGAGGAGATCACATCTGATAAGGAGAGAGTGGGGAGTCACAGCGGCTCGAGTGGGTGTGTGCACGTGACAACGAGGCTAAGTGTTGGAGCCGCATCCCCTAAACGTGTGACGTTGAGCCCCTCTCCAAGAGCCAGAAGCGCCAAGGGTGATCTCCTAGTATAAACACTCTACCGAGTTGTGGGTTGGGTTGTCCGTAGAGAAGGATCAACGACGACAACACAACCAACCCACAGTCTGTAATAGAAGGCAGTAAGAACAATTAAAAAGAGAGAAGTTGACATCCTTTCATGAGCGCATAGCTATAAATGACGAATGTGACTGTCACTTCACCAAACAAGAATTAATCGGAGCCAAAAAAAGGTGGAGAACACTGCACCAGGTGCTGAGATACTCAATGGCACGCTCAAAGGATATTGGACGTTATCAATGCATGCAGCAAGGCAAACTACCGATCTCTTGGAAGAAGGCAGACATTTCGATTCCTAAGCCTAAGGAACCTGACAGTTAGACCCATTTCATTAACATCATGCATTAGTAAAACTGCTGAACAAATGGTCTTAAATAGGCTACTGTGGAAGACTGGAGACCTGCATAAACACACATTTGGCCTACCAAGAGTAGGTAGGTATTGCCAACGGCATGGCAACATTACTAGGAACAGATAACCAATTTCCGGCTATAGTAATATTCTTTGATCTAGAGAAAGTATTCGAACTTGCAAGCCTGCAAACAATTTTACACAACTTGGTTAAAAAAGGTGTAAAGGGAAATATGCTAGCATGGATTTTAAGATTACGTTAGTGGCAGATATGCCAGAGTAAAGTTGCGAGATTGTGTCGAACTAACACTTGCATGAGAATGGGACTCCACCAGGAGGATACGTAGTCGAACATCCTTATGGAATACCTCGTTACCATGACATTTGCATTAGGGGTTAAATTGCTAAGCTATGTCGATGATAAAGTATGTCATTACAATTCATTCACTTCTAAATAAAGGACAATGAGCGTTAGGCAAAGTAACATCTGAATGCAACATTTTAAGTCTAAAGATATCTAAGTATCACAAAAAATACCAGTCTAAGGCAATGAGACTAGGTGACAACACTGTAGACAGGCTACACATTAAAGATATTAACCTTCAGTGGGTTACACATTATCAATATCCGAGTGTGGATAGATTGTAAAAAGATATTCAACAGGCAAATTCCATATCTGAAGGAGAAAGCAGAATTACGAATGAATATAATGAGCAATCACAGGGCCCCGTCTAGGAGCGAGACACAGCGTTAAAAATGTTTTACACACACGCCGTTCGTTCCTAGTTGATTATGCAGCACCTGCATTACTCACTCAATCTCCTGGCCAATGGGCAAACGTTGAGGTTAATCAAAATGATGCAATGCGAATCATAACAGGTGCTCCCAGATGGACTAAAATCCTGAACCTCAGACTAGAGACCAAGCTAACGTCGATTGAAATAAGGGTAAAAGGGATTGCTGCGTGCATGCTGACCAAGATATTGACTAGACCTAGAATCAGTTCACTTAAAGATATGATCACTGGAGCACTAACTCTGGACAGAAGAGCCTCTAATGGCAATAGGTTGACCCATTGTGCGATAAACGCCATCGATACATTCGATATGGCAAAACAGTCACTGAGAGGGGGTGTCGACGACATACATGCAGACTTTGTTATGCGAGCCCCTTGGAATCCCTGCCAGCAGACCTTCAGATTATGGCTCTTGACGGGAAGAAGAACCAGACACATCCTCATCTGCTCCGTAACTTTGCACAGATGCATATAGAAACACACATGGCATCCGACAGCTTCACTTACTTCACGGATGGATCAGTAGACCAGCAGGGACAAGAAACCGGAGCTGCAGTTAAAGCAGGAAACTCTGCATATAGTTGGAGGCTCTCAAATGGGTGTTCGACTTTACAGACTGAGATGCTAGCCATTCAAAAGGCTTAGGAACATGCTCTTGCTGAACACCGTCACATGTTATCATCCATACAGATTCGAGAACCGCCATTGAAACCTTGCAACAGGAACACATATGTGATAACATCCATCTGATCACAAATGTCTTATCATTCATGCACACACTCAAACGACAAGGCCGACGGGTACTTATCAACTGGGTGCCAAGTCATGTGGGACTATTAGGTAATGACATTGCAGACGAGGCTGCAAAACTTGCTACTAAGAGGAGGAATGTAGACATTTACATACCACAGAGTCTCTCCCAGATGAAGAAAGTGATTCGAAACAGAGCAATGCGAAAGATGTACAGTGACCACAACACAGCAGTTGCAACATCAGGATCTGCGGGTTGGTACAAGACTTCAACCAACTACGAACCACTTAGTTTGATGAAAGGGGGCGGTAGAACAACAGAAGTGCACTTACATCGCATCAGGCTTGGATACCCATGTGCATGGGAAATAGGCTTACGGGTTCCGGAAGGTGAGAGGAAATGTCAACACTGTGGAGAAATGCCCGACAGACCACTGGAACATTATCTAACACAGTGCACAGTTACAAACCCGTTAAGATTTCACCTTCGATTCAACAGAGCAGAGGAAGTTGTTAAGCAGATATGGCAAAATCTTACTGAAGCGACCATTCGAGTCATACATACTCATCCTCCGCCCAGGTAAAACAGAACCAAGCATCACTTAGTGGGCCAGCCAGAGGCTTAGGGCCCGCGCAGGATTATCCCTGCTAAAAAAAAAAAAAAAAAAAAATCACATATTGATAGAACTGTTGCATTCTTTAGATTGAATTTATGGTTTCAAACTAAAGAAGGTATTGTTAGCATTAAAGCCCTATAAAATAAAAAAAAAATAAAGCTTCTCTTTCTCTTCCATGATGAGATTAGTAAAAGTGAATGTCAGATCCGAACTGTTGTCTTGCTATATAGAGAAAATTTGAAATTAATTTCAATTTTATAAATTAAGCATCTAATAAGTATATCTATATAAATAAAAATGAAAATGTTCGTTTGTTAAAAATCGTTAATCTCCGAAAGTTCTTCACCGATTGCTTTGAAATTTTCACACAACGTTCCATTTGCAACTGAACTGGTTTTTATAAACATACTATATAGATGTCACGTCTGTGACGGGAAAAAACATTAAAAAAAACAGTGTTTTTCATGTGAAAGAAATCTTCGAAACCTCGTTATCGATTGCTTTGAAATTTTGACACAACGTTGCATTCAAATAGACGCGTGTTTTTATATACCTACTATATACATGCCTCACCTGTTACAGGAAAACCATGGTTTTTCTGAAAACAAGCGCCATCTGTAGGACGTAACAGCAACACATGCTGTAATCTCCGAAAGTTCTTCACAGATTACTTTGGAATTTTTTACACAACGTTCCATTCGAAGACGCGTTTGTTTTTATATACCTACTACATAGATGCCTCACCTGTGACAGGAAAAACGAGTTTTTTTTTTTTAAACAGTTACATCTGTTGCATGTAATAGCAACACACGACATACTAAATGTGTTACGATTCCATTTCAATGTTTCCGATTTCATTGATGAATTGAATGTTCATAGATTTCGATTTATTTTCGTAGATTTCGATTTGTTTTCATTTTGATTTAATTATTTTGTGTGACATTGCATTGGAATTGAGCTGTGTTGTTTACGCCAACACCGTCGGCGACCATTCATTTCATGAGTATAGTTTATTTTTGTATTTTTTCATATTTTCATTTAATTTTTTACCTGTTTTTCTTATATTTCAGTGATGGGAACATCAGGTCACTTGATGTTCCCAATTTTCTGATGGGAACATAAGACCATTTGGGAAGGCATCGGACGAGGGAGAGGGGAATGGTGGGGAGGACGAGGGGACGGAAGTGAGAGATGGTGAGGAGGACGAGGGGATAATGGCGGGGATGGACGTGGGGACGGGGGAGTTTGGGATGGTGGGGACGAGGAGATGGGGGAATGGAGAAGAGTGGCGAGGACAAAAGGGACAGGGGAGTGGGGCATGGTGGGAAGGAAGAGGGGATGGTGGAGTGGGGAATGGTTGGGAGGCTGAGGAAATGGGTAAGGGGGGGGGGAATGGTGGGGAGGACTGGGGGATAGGGAAGGTTGTTGTGACTCATCAATGCACATGCGTTGCTGAGCCACAGCAACACGTGGCCGGGTACTGCTACTATATATAACTGAAAACCTCACACCCCAGAAGTGACTCGAACCCAGGCTACCAGGAGCGCTATGCAACTGGTGTACAAAAGACCTTAAGCACTCGACCATCAGTGACCATACAAAAGATGATGGAACCGAGGCTAATTTCCCATCATCCCGACGGCACTTTGATGGTACGCCAAGAAATCTGGACTCCACCTGCCAAAGGTTATTGGGGAATACAAACCTGGGTATGCTTATGGAAATGTCAAGACGCATAAGCCTGGAAAGTCATTTCTGCTAATCATCAGCCAGATACCCACACCCAGAGCTGGTCGGCCGAGCGGACAGCACGCTGGACTTGTGATCCTGTGGTCCCGGGTTCGATCCCGGACGCCCGAGAGGATCGACGGGCAGAGTTTCTTTCACCCTATGCCCCTGTTACCTAGCAGTAAATAGGTACCTGAGAGTTAATCAGCTGTCACGGGCTGCTTCCTGGGGTGTGGAGGCCTGGTCGAGGACCGGGCCGCGGGGACACTAAAGTCCCGAAATCATCTCAAGATAACCTCAAGATAACCCCTATTAGCCTATTTTACAGGAACTTCTTTTCGACGGCTCATAAAATGGAGGAAGGGGTCCTGAAATATATTGTTGATAGGATTGTTATCCCTACAGACAAAAATCAGAAAATACAATTGACGATTTACTATAAAACCAAAAAATGGCCAACTTACTCATGAAGAACTCTCCAGACACCAAGCATAATGCCTTGAAGAAAACCATCGTCGTCTGTGTCTTCAAATGCCCGCTTAGGGACAGTAAGCTCCAAAGAACTCAGTGCATAAGCAAGACAACCACGTCTCTTTCCAAGCAGTTAACAATGCATAAACAACAGGGCTCCATATAGGACTATATAATCTCTTCTCACAACCAGACCATAACCAGAGAAATCTTAACAAACAACACAGAAATCATTGATAGATACAGCAATAGCAGGAGACTCGACATTTGCGAGGCACTACAGATCAAAAAGTCAACACCAGCAATCAACAGCCAATTAATGCACAACTGTATTCTACCCACTTCGAGACTCCGAACCAATAAAAAAGCATCAAGAGGAAGTGTTGACGCTATGGGCCAATAGGCTTTCTGCAGTTACTTCCATTCTTATGTTTTTATATTCATTGGTTCGTGTTCTCTCTCCTGTGTAAATGTCAATCACCTCACCCAAAACTTTTGTACCATATCACCTTAACCAAATGCGAGTATAAGTATGGATGTGTGTTTACAGGTTTCAGTTGCGTGTGTAAACTAAAGTCTTTGAAAATGTAATAAGTTATTACGAAACGCATTCAGGCATCACGTCAGACTAGAAATAAAAATGAATTTTGGAAAATTGATTTTCCAATTACCATCGATAGTGAAAAGAAACAAAAGAAATATTGAGAAAATTCGTGTTATAATTATTAATATTACCTTTTCGGACATATTTAACAACATATGTTTACAAGAGAAACTGCTACCAAAAAAAAAACTAATATATATATATATATATATATATATATATATATATATATATATATATATATATATATATATATATATATATATATATATATATATATATATATATATATATATATATATATATATATATATATATATATATATATATATATATATATATATATATATATATATATATATATATAGCAGGAAAGACAGCAGTCTTTCCTGTAGACCTATATTATTAAATATGACCGAAAAAGTAAGATTAATAATTCAAACACGAATTTTCTCAATCTTTCGTACATTTCTTTTCACTGTTGGTCGTAATTCAAAAATCAATTCTCCAAAATTCATTTTTATTTCTAGTCTGACGCGACACTTGAGCGCGTTTCGTAAAACTTATTACATTTTCAAAGACTTTAGTTTACACATACACAACTGAATAGAACTTACACATCTCCGATTTGTTTATATCTACATTTGAGTGAGGTGGATGGGGTGAGGTGATATTAATAGGGTATTAATTTCATCAACACAAGACAGAACACAAAACAATGGGTATTGAATGGAAGTGATTGTAGAAAGCCTATTGGTCCATATTTCTTGATGCTTCTATATTGGAGCGGAGTCTTGAGGTGGGTAGAATATAGTTGTGCATTAATTGGCTGTTGATTGCTGGTGCTGACTTTTTAATGTGTAGTGCCTCGCAAACGTCAAGCCGTCTGCTATCGCTGTATCTATCGATGATTTCTGTGTTGTTTACTAGGATTTCTCTGGCGATGGTTTGGTTGTGGGAAGAGATTATATGTTCCTTAATGGAGCCCTGTTGCTTATGCATCGTTAAACGCCTAGAAAGAGATGTTGTTGTCTTGCCTATATACTGGGTTTTTAGGAGTTTACAGTCCCCAAGAGGGCATTTGAAGGCATAGACGACGTTGGTCTCTTTTAAAGCGTTCTGCTTTGTGTCTGGAGAGTTTCTCATGAGTAGGCTGCCGTTTTTCTGGTTTTATAGTAAATCGTCAGTTGTATCCTCTGATTTTTGTCTGTAGGGATAACGTTTCTATTAACAATATCTTTCAGGACCCTTTCCTCCGTTTTATGAGCTGTGGAAAAGATGTTCCTGTAAAATAGTCTAATAGGCGGTATAGGTGTTGTGTTAGTTGTCTTCAGAGGTTGCATGGCGTTTCACTTTCCTTCTTATGATGTCTTCGACGAAACCATTGGAGAAGCTGTTGTTGACTAGGACCTGCCTTACCCTACAGAGTTCTTCGTCGACTTGCTTCCATTCTGAGCTGTGGCTGAGAGCGCGGTCGACATATGCATTAACAACACTCCTTTTGTACCTGACTGGGCAGTCGCTGTTGGCATTTAGGCACATTCCTATGTTCGTTTCCTTAGTGTAGACTGCAGTGTGGAAACCTCCGCTCTTTTCCATGACTGTTACATCTAGAAAGGGCAGCTTCCCATCCTTTTCCATTTCGTAAGTGAAACGCAGCACGGAACTCTGCTCAAACGCCTCCTTCAGCTCCTGCAGATGTCTGACATCAGGTACCTGTGTAAAAATGTCGTCAACATACCTGCAGTATATGGCCGGTTTCAAGTTCATGTCGACTAAGACTTTTTCCTCGATGGTACCCATGTAGAAGTTTGCAAACAGGACACCTAGGGGAGAACCCATGGCGACACCATCTACTTGCTTATACATGTGCCCCTCCGGGCTCAAGAAGGGTGCCTCTTTAGTACAAGCTTAGAGTAGTTTCCTTAGAATATTTTCTGGCATGTCAAGAGGAGTGAAGAAGAGAAGAAAAAAAAAATGACGAATATCTGGCGAAAATGAACCTCATACTCTCTGACCAAACTAAATTCCAAAGGGTAACTAAGGACACTACAGCCGAATTGAAAGCAAAGGTCAACAAACTGATCGAAACTGTGAACGCCAAGAAATCTGGACTCCACCTGCCAAAGATTATTGGGGAATATAAACCTGGATATGCGTATGGAAATGTCAAGACACACAAGCCTGGAAACCCACTTTGGCCAATTATTAGCCAGATACCCACACCCATATACAGACTGGCGAAGCGACTCAATGGCCTGCTGACTCCTTATGTCCCTTGCGCCTTCAGACTGTAGTCTCCAAAGGAATTTGTTGACTTACTGCAGGTCACACGGGCCACAGGGATAAGAGCCTCGTTGGACGTAGAATCACTGTTCACCAATGTACCTGTGGACGAGACATTCGGGATGATAGCCGACAGAGTGTATCGTGATTCAGCCTGTACTCCTCTTGACATGCCAGAAAATATTCTAAGGAAACTACTCCAAGCTTGTACTAAAGAGGCACCCTTCTTGAGCCCGGAGGGACACATGTATAAGCAAGTAGATGGTGTCGCCATGGGTTCTCCCCTAAGTGTCCTGTTTGCAAACTTCTACATGGTTACCATCGAGCAAAAAGTCTTAGTCGACATGAACTTGAAACCGGCCATATACTGCAGGTATGTTGACAACATTTTTACACAGGTACCTGATGTCAGACATCTGCAGGAGCTGAAGGAGGCGTTTGAGCAGAGTTCCGTGCTGCGTTTCACTTACGAGATGGAAAAGGATGGGAAGCTGCCCTTTCTAGATGTAACAGTCATGGAAAAGAGCGGAGGTTTCCACACTGCAGTCTACACTAAGGAAACGAACATAGGAATGTGCCTAAATGCCAACAGCGACTGCCCAGTCAGGTACAAAAGGAGTGTTGTTAACGCATATGTCGACCGCTCTCGCAGCCACAGCTCAGAATGGAAGCAAGTCGACAAAGAACTCTGTAGGATAAGGCAGGTCCTAGTCAACAACGGCTTCTCCAATGGTTTCGTCGAAGACATCATAAGAAGGAAAGTGAAACGCCATGCAACCTCTGAAGAGACAACTAACACAACACCTATACCCCCTATCAGACTATTTTACAGGAACTTCTTTTCAACAGCTCATAAAACAGAGGAAAGGGTCCTGAAAGATATTGTTAATAGAAACGTTATCCCTACAGACAAAAATCAGAGGATACAACTGACTATTTACTATAAAACCAGAAAAACGGCCAGCCTACTCATGAGAAACTCTCCAGACACAAAGCAGAACGCTTTAAAAGAGACCAACGCGTCGTCTATGCCTTCAAATGCCTTCTTGGGGACTGTAAGCTCCTAAAAACCCAGTATATAGGCAAGACAACAACATCTCTTTCTAGGCGTTTAACGATGCATAAGCAACAGGGCTCCATTAAGGAACATATAATCTCTTCCCACAACCAAACCATCGCCAGAGAAATCCTAGTAAACAACACAGAAATCATCGATAGATACATCGATAGCAGGCGGCTTGACGTTTGCGAGGCACTACACATTAAAAAGTCAACACCAGCAATCAACAGCCAATTAATGCACAACTATATTCTACCTACCTCAAGACTCCGCTCCAATATAGAAGCATCAAGAAATATGGACTAATAGGCTTTCTACAATCACTTCCATTCAATACCCATTGTTTCGTGTTCTGTCTTGTGTTGATGAAATTAATACCCCATTAATGCCACCTCACCCCATCCACCTCACTCAAATGTAGATATAAACAAATCGGAGATGTGTAAGTTCTATTCAGTTGTGTATGTGTAAACTAAAGTCTTTGAAAATGTAATAAGTTTTACGAAACGCGCTCAAGTGACGCGTCAGACTAGAAATAAAAATGAATTTTGGAGAATTGATTTTGAATTACCACCAACAGTGAAAAGAAATGTACGAAAGATAGAGAAAATTCGTGTTAGAATTATTAATCTTACTTTTTCGGTCATATTTAATAATATATATATATATATATATATATATATATATATATATATATATATATATATATATATATATATATATATATATATATATTTATAATAATGAAGATATATTGACCAGGAAGGCGAGATCGAACCAGCGTCCTGGGTCACCCCAGATTAACACACTGAGATATCACTTTATTGTGATTGTATTGAGAGTATCATATAAGATTCTAAACTGTCTAAGCCTATTGTACATTAAGTCAATGAATCCCAGATGTCCAATCCTACACCTTCTTGTGGCTGATCATCTCTGTGTTTGGCCGTTAACAATAAGTTGTTGAAGTGAATCAATTTGGTGATGAGCTCTAGAAATTTATATTTTGTTTTGCACCTCAGAGAAGAGTCTGCGTGCTGTGTGCTGTGCAGCATCGACACATGTGATAAACAGCTGCCCAATGTAATGTTCTCCAAAGACTCAGGCGGCTACGCTTTTTATCTGATTAACAACTAAAGCATTTATTGCTGTATAATATTGTTAGCTCTGCTCGGACTCAGTACTGTGTGTTTTAATTTTTTGGGCTCCATAACGAAGTTAGTGTTAGGTTTTAAAAGGTGGATTGTGTTAGATGATAGCCAAAGCACATCATAACTATCTGGAAGCTGAGATCACAATTAGAATATTTCTCCTAGGCCGGACAGTGTGTTGTCTCCAGGATTGTGGACAAGTGCAAGTGGCCGGCACGTTTTCTTTGATAAAATTAGAGTGCTCAGAGCAGGCTACTTTAATGGCCTGAATGTCTATGGCCTGAATGTCCTCTCCCCCTTCTTTATTGTAGAGTCTTTCTCTGAGTTTTCAGAGTACTCGAGGTGGTCCTGGACCTCCCGCCCAAAAGGCAGGGTTAATGCCTTGCCCAGCCATGGTCTCAGTGGGCCTTAACTTGTAATTTAATAACCGTCATGCCGTAATAAGATGCTGGTCGTTCATCTTGAGGGATGGTCTAAGTGGTCTCTCTCTTTAGGGCAGATCTAAGTGGTCTCTCTTTAACCCTTAAACTGCGCATGGCATATATATACGCCATGAGTAACATGTCCCACCGTGCGCCTGGCGTATATATACGCCAAAGGGTGCCAGGCACGATTCAAACGTCCCGCGGTGTAAAGGGGTCACCCATACCGTAGCCAGGGGCGATTGTAAACAGACGCCATTTTGAAAAAAAATCCAGAGCAGGCCTCCTTTGTTTCACAGGCCTTAGTTAGTGGCCAGACACCATACCAAGCGCATCACGACCCAGCGTGCGACCTCGCCCAGCGCTCCGCGCCGCGCAGTCCTTGACTGAAGACGAAATTGCAGATGAATTGTTCAAGGACGTTGATGAGTCTGATATTGACGACTCAGATATAGATGAAGATTATACCCAGCCAGAAGAAATCGAAACAACGGAGAGTGAGGGGGAACATGTGGGTGCCACGAGGGTGAGGATGCCTCTCGAGGCTGCTACTCAACACCACTCAACACCACCCCGCGCCCAAGCACATCGTTCATCTATACCACTGCACGTTTATGATACGATTGACGAGTCTGAAACAAGTGAATCTTTCTCAGGCTTTAGTGATGAAGAGTTGGAGAATAGTGTTACCCCCAGTGCCAGTACAAGTTTCGCCGCATCAGCTGCCCGCCCAGCCAAGCGCCGCCGCATGGGACAATATGGCGACAATGAGGAACAAATTCCCTCATGTTCCACATCTTTTTCCTCATCTACCGTTCCTGCCCCTACTGCTACAAGGCGTGCTTCAGCTCCTGGTCCCCGGATTCCTCGCCGTGGTGCAGCTAATGGCTCTCGGAAGGCAGCAGGTTTGTGTGTGTGGAGTGATGGGGAAGATTTTATTCCACAAATTCCCGACTTTGATAACAGAGATGTGGGAATTACTGATCTTTTCCCTGATACTGGTGACGAAATGTGTGAAATGGACTTCTTTACTGCATATTTCGATGAGCCGCTAATGAAACAAATTGTTCATGAAACGAACAGACTTGCGGATGATCTCATCGAATGTGAGGAAGTTTCAGAATTTTCGCGACTACAGCGTTGGAAAGAGACAACTGTTGATGAGATGTATGTGTTTTTTGCAATTTGCATGTTGATGAAACATTGTGTGAAACACGTAATTTCAGATTATTGGAGCAAAGACAACTCTGTTCCAACACCATTGTTCGGGAAATATATGTCCCGAGACAGATTTCTGTTGATCCTACGTTGCATTCATTTTGCAAATAATGCTGACGAGACACAGGATGATAGGCTTTGGAGGGTGAGGCACGTGCTAAATGACCTGATTGGAAAGTTCCGAGATTACTACGTACCAGCACAGAAGCTGGCTATTGATGAATCCCTGGTGCTTTTCAAAGGACGTGCTGCCTTCAAGCGGTATATTCCCTCAAAACGTCACCGATTTGGACTGAAATTCTTTGTGCTCTGTGACTGTGAATCAGGAATGGTGTTACACATGATACTTTATTCAGCCACAAATATAGATATTCCTGCTAATGACGAACATGGCTTCTCAGGTAGTGTGGTGAAGTCACTGCTTGCACCATATCTGAACAAGGGCCACATATTGTACACAGATAACTATTATACCAGTCCCTTGCTAACGAAATTCTTGCTGGATAATAAGACTGGAGTGTGTGGAACAGTAAAGCCAAAACGAAAGGAAATGCCTGTGTTTGATACTGCTATGCAAGTAGGTGACTGCGAGGTAAGGAAAAGTGGTGCAATGCTTTCAGTGCGGTGGAAAGACAGACGTGAAGTGAACATGTTGACCACCATTCACCCTGGTACAATGGTAGACAGTGGCAAGGTGAACAGAACAACAAAGCAAATAATATACAAGCCAGATTGTGTGATGGACTACAACATCAACATGCGTTTAGTTGATAAATGTGACATGATGGTGGGTGCTGTAGAGTGTGTACGTAAAACAGTGAAGTGGACAAAGAAAATGATTTTTCACCTTATTGATGTAACAATGCTGAACAGTTACAATATGTTTCTTGTGAAGACAGGTAGAAAACCATATTTCCGTTCGTTCAGTTTCCAAGTTGTGAAACAGTTGCTAGGTAAATTTGGCAAGGACACACCTGGTATACAAAGACCCATTCGAGACCCAATACTGAACCATGCTCCTGCACCCAGGCTCGCTTACAGGGAGGCCTTTCTGATACATCAAATCAAGAAATTACCACCAACTGGAGCTCGTGCAGCAGGCCAGCGTCGGTGTGTTGTGTGTTCCAGTACCAAATTGAGGCCACAGAAACGCAAATTGGTGTTGACATGGTGCGAAGCGTGTGCCGTCCCTCTGTGCCATATCGACTGTTTCGCACAGTATCACAGTCTCCTGGAGTACTAAATGTGTAATTCTTTGGTAAATAAATGTACATATCAAGTTTATTTTTGTGTTTATATTGAAAAAAACCCAAATACATTAAATATTTCCTGTAAATTATACCATTTTGGTGGGAATACTTGTGACACTAATATGTGAGCGCTTAGTGAGTTTATACCATTTTTATTATAATACAACGACTATTGCTAATAATTGGAACAATACTAGCAAAAAAAATTGGAGTAAAATGACCCAAGAATACTGTAAATAATTCCGCGAAAATAAATTCGCGGCAACTCGGGCCGCGCGAGCGGCCGTGAGTGACAGCTGGGTGACGCAGCACCCTTGAGCGCTCACAATCTGTGACGTCATCGGCCAACTTCTCGGCTCAATTGTGTCATTGGTATGTATAATAGATTTTTTTTATTATTTTTCCCGTGCTCAGGAGACTCAAATTAACATGTTTAGAAGACGAAAAAAATTTTTTGAATTTGTTTTTTCTTGCGCACAGAGGTGTAAATGTCCATATGACCCCTGAGCAGTGTAAGGGTTAAGGGTGGTCTAAGCGGTCTCTCCTACCCCCTACCTTATTTGGCAATGCATATGTTCTAAAGTACGTGTTCTCGAAGATACATGTGTGCCATAGTTATTTTTTGTGCTATAAGTGTAATTATAGAGCTATGGGGAGGTAATGCAGAATAATCATGTTAGTAAATATTAGGAGCTGATAGTGGCTAGAGGCGGCATCACACACGGGTCCCAAGTTTTCCAAAATCTTTCTTCCAGCCCAACAGGTTCTTGAAGAATGGGGCGTATATATTATTTATTCATATCGACAGAGGATTATTTATGGTCAAAGGAAATAACATGGATTAGAGAATCTATTGCACTTTAGTTTCTTATTGTAACTCTTGCTTTTCTGAGTTACAATAAGTATACGCCGCTGAATGCGCTGGACAGTTCGGGTTTCATAATAAACAAAAAGCTAGCAAACTAGAGAGTTTAAGTGAACAATTAAACTACGACAATCATTCATAACAAATACACCTTGTGATGATATATTAAATACGTTTTTACTAGAGAATTCAATCCTCGATGACATCAATGAAATCCCAAACACTTGAACACGATAACATACGAGGTACCAAATGACTGGGGGAAAGCGCCAAGCCATTACGACTATATAGCACTAGGAAGGGGTCAGGATAAGGGTTTGGGATGGGACGGGGAGGAAGGAACGGTGCCCAACCACTTGGACGGTCGGGGATCGAACGCCGACCTGCACGAAGCGAGACCGTCGCTCTACCGTCAAGTCCAAGTGGCTAGACACCAAATGACTGGAACACTTAGCATAATGAGTAGTGAGTCATCGTCGTTGTTGGAAAAAATATGGCAGGAGGAGCAGCAGTGATTAGAATAGTGGTAGTCAAAATGTATAGTGGAAGTTAGTAGTTGTAGTGACGGAAGTGGTTGTGGTGATAGTTGTAGTGACGGAAGTGGTTGCGGTGATAGTTATAGTGACGGAAGTGGTTGTGGTGATAGTTATAGTGACGGAAGTGATTGTGGTGATAGTTATAGTGACGGAAGTGGTTGCGGTGATAGTTATAGTGACGGAAGTGATTGTGGTGATAGTTATAGTGACGGAACTGGTTGTGGTGATAGTTATAGTGACGGAAGTGGTTGTGGTGATAGTTATAGTGACGGAAGTGGTTGTGGTGATAGTTATAGTGACGGAAGTGGTTGTGGTGATAGTTATAGTGACGGAACTGGTTGTGGTGATAGTTATAGTGACGGAACTGGTTGTGGTGATAGTTATAGTGACGGAACTGGTTGTGGTGATAGTTATAGTGACGGAACTGGTTGCGGTGATAGTTATAGTGACGGAACTGGTTGCGGTGATAGTTATAGTGACGGAACTGGTTGTGGTGATAGTTATAGTGACGGAACTGATTGCGGTGATAGTTATAGTGACGGAACTGGTTGCGGTGATAGTTATAGTGACGGAAGTGATTGTGGTGATAGTTATAGTGACGGAAGTGATTGTGGTGATAGTTATAGTGACGGAAGTGATTGTGGTGATAGTTATAGTGACGGAAGTGATTGTGGTGATAGTTATAGTGACGGAAGTGGTTGTGGTGATAGTTATAGTGACGGAAGTGATTGTGGTGATAGTTATAGTGACGGAAGTGGTTGCGGTGATAGTTATAGTGACGGAAGTGATTGTGGTGATAGTTATAGTGACGGAACTGGTTGTGGTGATAGTTATAGTGACGGAACTGGTTGTGGTGATAGTTATAGTGACGGATCTGGTTGCGGTGATAGTTATAGTGACGGAACTGGTTGCGGTGATAGTTATAGTGACGGAACTGGTTGCGGTGATAGTTATAGTGACGGAACTGGTTGCGGTGATTGTTATAGTGACGGAACTGGTTGTGGTGATAGTTATAGTGACGGAACTGGTTGTGGTGATAGTTATAGTGACGGAACTGGTTGTGGTGATAGTTATAGTGACGGAAGTGATTGTGGTGATAGTTATAGTGACGGAAGTGGTTGTGGTGATAGTTATAGTGACGGAACTGGTTGTGGTGATAGTTATAGTGACGGAAGTGATTGTGGTGATAGTTATAGTGACGGAAGTGGTTTTAGTAATAGTTGTAGTGACGTAAGTGGTTGTGGTGACGTAAGTGGTTGTAGTGACGTAAGTGGTTGTGGTGAGGAAAATGGTTGTAGTAATAGTTATAGAGGTAAAATAATAATTGTGCTCAGTACCACCACGACTGTGCTGGGCGCCGCTGAACAACACACAAGACAACCACCAGTTTACAGTCTTTATATTTTAAGTTCTGATCACATCTCTGAGTATGACCTTACCCTCAGTACTGTTGGTGGTCCCTGAGGTATACCTCAGTACTGTTGGAGGTCCCTGAGGTATACCTCAGTACTGTTGGAGGTCCCTGAAGTATACCTCAGGACTGTTGGTGGTCCCTAAGGTATACCTCAGTACTGTTGGTGGTCCCTGAGGTATACCTCAGTACTGTTGGTGGTCCCTGAAGTATACCTCAGTACTGTTGGTGGTCCCTGAGGAATACCTCAGTACTGTTGGCGGTCCCTGAGTGGTCCCTGAAGTATACCTCAGGACTGTTGGTGGTCCCTAAGGTATACCTCAGTACTGTTGGTGGTCCCTGAGGTATACCTCAGTACTGTTGGTGGTCCCTGAGGTATACCTCAGTACTGTTGGTGGTCCCTGAGGTATACCTCAGTACTGTTGGTGGTCCCTGAGGTATACCTCAGTACTGTTGGTGGTCCCTGAGGTATACCTCAGTACTGTTGGTGGTCCCTGAGGTATACCTCAGTACTGTTGGTGGTCCCTGAAGTATACCTCAGGACTGTTGGTGGTCCCTGAGGTATACCTCAGTACTGTTGGTGGTCCCTGAAGAATATCTCAGTACTGTTGGTGGTTCCTGAGGTATACGTCAGTACTGTTGGTGGTCCCTGAGGTATACCTCAGTACTGTTGGTGGTCCCTGAGGTATACCTCAGTACTGTTGGTGGTCCCTGAGGTATACCTCAGTACTGTTGGTGGTCCCTGAAGTATACCTCAGTACTGTTGGTGGTCCCTGAGGTATACCTCAGTACTGTTGGTGGTCCCTGAGGTATACCTCAGTACTGTTGGTGGTCCCTGAAGTATACCTCAGGACTGTTGGTGGTCCCTGAGGTATACCTCAGTACTGTTGGTAGTCCCTGAAGTATACCTCAGGACTGTTGGTGGTTCCTGAGGTATACGTCAGTACTGTTGGTGGTCCCTGAGGTATACCTCAGTACTGTTGGTGGTTCCTGAGGTATACCTCAGTACTGTTGGTGGTCCCTGAAGTATACCTCAGTACTGTTGGTGGTCCCTGAGGTATACCTCAGTACTGTTGGTGGTCCCTGAGGTATACCTCAGTACTGTTGGTGGTCCCTGAGGTATACCTCAGTACTGTTGGTGGTCCCTGAAGTATACCTCAGGACTGTTGGTGGTCCCTGAGGTATACCTCAGTACTGTTGGTGGTCCCTGAGGTATACCTCAGTACTGTTGGTGGTTCCTAAGGTATACCTCAGTACTGTTGGTGGTCCCTGAGGTATACCTCAGTACTGTTGGTGGTCCTTGAGGTATACCTCAGTACTGTTGGTGGTCCATGAGGTATACCTCAGTACTTTTGGTGGTCCCTGAGGTATACCTCAGGACTGTTGGTGGTCCCTGACGTATACCTCAGTACTGTTTGGTGATCCCTGAGGTATACCTCAGGACTGTTGGTGGTCCCTGAGGTATACCTCAGGACTGTTGGTGGTCCCTGAGGTATACCTCAGTACTGTTGGTGATCCTTGAAGTATACCTCAGTACTGTTGGTGGTTCCTGAAGTATACCTCAGGACTGTTGTTGGTCCCTGAAGTATACCTCAGGACTGTTGGTGGTCCCTGAAGTATACCTCAGGACTGTTGGTGGTCCCTGAGGTATACCTCAGTACTGTTGGTGGTCCCTGA